TCTGTGTCCCCATGTGTCCTAGTGTCTCAGTGTCCCCTAGTGACAGTGTCCCCATGTGTCCCCTAGTGTCTGTGTCCCCTAGTGTCTGTGCCCCCAGATGTCCCCATGTTTTCCAGTGTCCCCAAGTGTCTCAGTGTTCCCAGGTCTCCCAGTGTCTCTGTCCTAGTGTCTCAGTGTCCCCTAGTGTATGTGTCATCATGTGTCCCCTAGTGTCTCAGTGTCCCCATGTGTCCCCTAGTGTCTCAGTGTCCCCTAGTGTCTGTGTCCCCATGTGTACCCTAGTGTCTCAGTGTCCCCAATGTGTCCCCTAGTGTCTCAGTGTCCCCTAGTGTCTCAGTGTCCCCATGTGTCCCTGCTGCCTTTCCCCCGATCCCTCACATACCTGAGCTCTAGAGCTGCTGTCTGGACTCTCTGTGCTGTGTAGCTGCTCCCCCACGGATCAGTGAGTAGTAGAGAGAGGCAGGGATATTCTGTAACTTCCTATCCCTGCCTCTCTCCACACACAGTGACCCCTACTGGCCGGTGCTGGTATTGCAGAGTAATTTCCATTTATTATGAGAAAATTACCTGCATTTGTATTGCTGGTATTACTGCAATACCAGCAGGGCCAGGCAGCCTCAAATACCGTCTGTGCCATTAAAATACCAGTCAGGTGGCAAACCTAAGAGTAGTGTGTAAAAAAAAAAAATATTTTTTTTTTTAAAAATGGGCCTATTCCATGGGCCTGGGCCTGGAGCTGCAGCTCCATCAGCCCCTATGTTAATCCGGCCCTGCCAGTGCGTACTGTCTGCTTTTTTTTTTATATTGTTCATATTGTTTTTCTTTGTCTGTTTTCTTAAAGGACCACTCTAGGCACCCAGACCACTTCAGCTTAATGAAGTGGTCTGGGTGCCAGGTCCATCTAGGGTTAACCCATTTTTTCATAAACATAGCAGTTTCAGAGAAACTGCTATGTTTGTGAATGGGTTAAGCCTTCCCCTATTTACTCTAGTGGCTGTCTCATTGACAGCCACTAGAGGCGCTTGCGTGCTTCTCACTGTGATTTTCACAGTGAGAGCACGCCAGCGTCCATAGGAAAGCATTATGAATGCTTTCCTATGTGACCGGCAGAATGCGCGCGCAGCTTTTGCCGCGCGTGCGCATTCAGCCAACGGGGAGGAGAAGAGGAGGATCGGAGGAGGAGAGCTCTCCGCCCAGCGCTGGAAAAAGGTAAGTTTTAACCCCTTTCTCCTTTCCAGAGCCGGGTGGGAGGGGGTCCCTGAGGGTGGGGGCACCCTCAGGGCACTATAGTGCCAGGAAAACGAGTATGTTTTCCTGGCACTATAGTGGTCCTGTAAGTGAACTGTGTATTGGTTAACCTTGTATATCTGTAAGTGAACTTTATGAGTTAGAGCTCAGAGTACCCTTCCCTCCTATCCAGCAATAACAGTTTTTTAACCGTGACCTCCATACGCATACACTCACATAACGCCAGAGGGCTAAATACACCTGAAAAACGCTCCATAGCACTTGCTGACTTTCAAAGACTATTCGGACCAATTGTCTTGAGTGCTATTAACGAAACATTGCAAATATAATTCCAAGGACTTATTAGCCCTCTCAGCTGTACAATTGGTCTGGGGGTGGTAAGAGGATGAAAAAGACAATTCAATCCCTAATTGTTTATTGAAGGCCCTCCAAAACCGGGACACAAACTGAGAACCTCTATCAGATACTATATTGTGAGGAATGCCATGCAGATGGACAATTTCTTGTACAAAGATTAGTACCAGGTCTTGAGATGACGGCAATTTCTTGAGAAGACTAAAGCCATTTTAGAAAAACTGTCCACAACCATGAGAATAGTGGTATAACCATTAGAACTAGGAAGTTCAACAATGAAGTCCATGGACAAGTGGAACCATGGGAGCTCAGAAATAGGAAGAGGTTGCAAGATGCCACAAGGGAGTTTATGAGGCACTTTGGAAACCGCACAAACAGAACACCTGCACATACTCCTTAACATCCTTCCTGGGGGTATCCCACCAGAGTGACCTCATGATAGCAGAAGTGGATTTATTAATACCTGGGTGACCAGCAGACACATTGTCATGAAATACCTTCATGATATTAACCCTTTCCCCCAATGGAACAAACGGTTTGTCCTGAGGTTTACTGCAGGGCGCCTGAGACTGAGCCTCCATGATGGAGCCAAGCAGTGGAGAGGACAATGATAGACAGTGGACGCAATGATACATTCCGGGTTAATGATATGGGACGTTTCTGACTCTAGTATAGCCTCAGTATCGAACTGCCTGGACAAGGCATCGGCCTTGACATTTTTAGAACCAGGTCTATAAGTGATAAGAAAATTAAAGCGAGAAAGAAATAGAGACCACCTAGCTTGTCTACAAGATAATCGCTTGGCATCTCCTATGTACCCTCTAAAAGATGTCGCCACTCCTTGAGAGCTAGAATAATGGCCAACAATTCTCTATTGCCAATATCGTAATTGCACTCTGCAGGAGACAATTTCTAGAAAAGTAACCACAAGGATGTAACAGAGTTTCCTGGCTCTCCCTCTGGGAGAGAACTGCCCCTACCCCTGTCTCTGAAGCAATAACCTCCAGTATGAAAGGCTTACTGGTGTCAGGATGTATCAATACGTCGGCGGATGCAAACCGCTGTTTGAGAGTTTCAAATGCTTCAATACTCTCCTTAGACCATATCGTACTACTAGCCCCCTTGCGTGTCATATTGGTGATGGGGGCTATTACTGAAGAAAATCCCTTTAAAAATCTTCTGTAATAATTGGCAAAACCAATGAATCTTTGAATGGCTTTCAACCCAGTGGGTAAAGGCCACTGTAGGTTCTATCTGAAACCCTGAGGCAGAAATATTATATCCTAAAAACCTGTACTTCAGACTGGTCAAAGATACATTTTTCCAATTTACAAACAAAGTTGGTGTTTTAACAAGGTTTGCAGAACTTGTTTAACGTAATCGTGGTGAGACTGGAGGTCAGGAGAATAAATAAGGATATCATCCAGATAGACCAAGACAAACAAGTAAATGTAATCCCTGAGTACACCATTAATGAAATCTTGGAAAACCGCTGGAGCATTGTGGGGCAAACCTAGCCACTTGGACTATAACCAGAGACTGTACCTTTAAGGGTTGCCTGTATGTCTGGGGAGATATGTGTTTAACTACGTGTATTGTATGCTGACTGTAATGTATTGAATTGCCTGTATTTGCTATCTGCCGAATGCAGATAGCTGTTTGTATGGGGTTTTCCTTTCGTTTCACGAACGGCACTTTGGAGGGCCGTTCGTGAACCGAAAACACTACCCCTAATAGCCCACACACTTAGAAGCGTGTGGCGCTGGTTAACCGATTGCAACAATGTTGCAATCGGTAATTAGAGGATCTCCTGGGTGGCCGTCATTCGACTACCGACCATGCGGCGGTCAGCCATCTTGGATCCTTTGTTCCCTCAGCGGTGCTAGGTCGTCGAGCGCATGGTACTAAAAACGGCTACTCGACGGCACGAACACTGAGCCTCCAGGACGTTCGGGAGTTCCAGGCCGTTCGGTATTTTATTCCCTGGAAGGCAATCGGTTCTTTTAATATGTTTTGCAATAAATGTGCTTTTCGTGCGGCGTTCGGTTAGTTTAGCTGGGATCTGAGCGGTAATCTCACGAATGATGCGCTCAGACCCCAGCTATCTACCGAACGTCCATTCGTTTAAATAGACCGCATATTCATAAAGTTATACATTTTTATACGAATTGTAAGTTCTGCTGCACGGAGGGATAATCCACTTAACGGTATATTCCAGTGGGAGGATCCCTCTCGTGCAGCAGTGCCTGATGGGAGAAATGCCTGGTATTGTAAGTCCCCCATGTAGTCCCCTCTGGGAATGCCCCTGGGAAGGGACTCAGGAAACCCCTTGCATGGGGACTTGTATAAATTGTGCAGCAGAATTAAAGGACTTCAGTTGACTCTCAGAACTGTGTTTCGTCCGGTTACTGGGAGGTTGGGGATATTGCCTTGTTGTTGTAGCGCTTGACTGTGGATTACTTCCTGAACCAGCGGAATTCGTGGATTTAATATTGGCGTTCCGCTACAATTGGTGGCAGCGGTGGGATTACATTATGGCACAGCAGCCCCAGGGGGCACCCTCCAGGGCAGAATCCATCGCCAACTCATTCTGCGCTCCAGTAAAGCAGAAAATACCTTACCAGGCATTTAAAGCGTTCTGCGAGGAGAAGGATGAGATCGACGGATACCTGCAGGATTTTGAGCGGTTATGCGACCTACACGATCTGGAGCAGGCAATGTGAGTACCCCTACTAGCAGGCAAGTTGGCAGGATGAGCGGCAGAGGCTTATCGCGCTGTGCCCAGAGAGGACAGCAAGGACTATTTTAAAGTCAAAAGGGCAATTCTAGAGAGGTATGTCATAACCCCAGAGGCATACCGGCGTAAATTTCGGGGATTGAGGAAGCCAGAGAAAGATTCCCACGCTGAGTGGGCACATAAGCTGGACTAAGCTTCACAAGGGTGGATTCAGGCGAGCCAAGCCACCACCATGGAGGGACTGCGCCAACTCATCCTGCTGGAGCAGTTCTTTAACGGCCTGTTGTTATGGACAGATGAATTAAAATAAAATGGCTATTTACTAATGTCTATTTATTCTGTGTTCACTATGTTAAAACTGGCTGCTAGAGTAAATATTCCCTTCGCCCCCTACAATGTGTTCAGTTGCTGTTTACTATGTAAATTCTTCATCCTGATAAGCATCCCCCTTCAAATCAAGCAAACCTTGTGTAAACAAAATTCCTGTGTTAACAGCTCCCTTTACTAACTCCTCCCCCACTACCTTTGTGCCAGTTAAACAGCTATATGCCACGTATAGCTAAATGGAGGATCATTGGTTTAGAACTGATAGATACCACTCACTCCCCCTCCCATCGTGTATCCAAAAGTCTGTAATGATGACACTACATTCTGTAGGGAGGTTTAAACAAGAGGCCCCTTTCTCTGTTAACCAATTGGTGAATGTATACTGTATGTTTAAACTGTGACGTATTTTTGCTTTAAGAAGGAGCCCCCACTCCGGGGAATAAAGGATTCCTGAGTTTTTCACTGATCAGAAACTTTGTCTCCGGTGTGAATTACTTCTAGGGAAAGCGTGCACGCATTAATCAATCAATTTGGAAGGTGTAGATAGACAAATTATCAAAGTTTTCTTTGATCCAAATCAGTTGGCGCACTTCCGAACAGGGACGAGAGGGTTGTTGTTATTCTGCTCGAAGCCGTAAAATCCCAGGACCGGAGAGGAGACCCCCAGAGATTGAAAAAAAAAAAAGAGCCTGATCACCTCTGCATATGGTAAATGAGTAACTTACCTATATTTTCCATTCTTTGGAATTGGTCTGCACTCTGGGCCTTCACTCGGCTTCCTGTGGTTAACGTCAGACAGGTATATAGTATGCCCACATGTCCCCTTTTATATAGAACCTGTCACTTGTCTATCTACAGCCTGAGTCCTGAGTGTGAGTTTTATGTGTGAAAGTGTCTGTTTGAGAATCTGTTTTACTTTCTTGTGATTATTTAATTCAGGGTGCAAATATACCTGGAGTTTTTAGGCCAGATTATATTAATTAATATTTTAATATTAATTCTTGGCGTTTCCTTTGTTGTTTTTCATTTAAATTCAGGTGTGCAGAATAGCCCCTGGTGGTTAGTTTTTGTCCGATTAAGAATAGATCGTGGCGTTTCCTTTGTTGTTTTTCATTTAAATTCAGGTGTGCAGAATAGCCCCTGGTGGTTAGTTTTTGTCCGATTAAGAATAGATCGTGGCGTTTCCTTTGTTGTTTTTCCTTTAAAACAGGCGTGCAGAATAGCCCCTGGAGGTTTAGTTTTTTGTCCGATTCATATTAAAAATAGATCGTGGCGATTCTTTTGTTGTTTTAATAAAAAACAACGAACAAAGAGTGAAGTTGTTGTATATGTGCTTGAGTGTTTCTGTGTGTGATTTGATTTATTATAAGCCGGCATTTATTTTAAGAACTTTGTGATTTAATTACATCTGTATTTTGTGCTTTTGTCTGTGTATGTCTTGTTAGGTACCATATATGTTAATTGTAATCTATACAATTTGTATCGTTACTCTCCTATTCTATCTTTTGTCCTAAGGAGAGCTGTGCTTAGGCAATCACATGGTTAAAAAACTTTGTGCTTGCAAGTCTTCCTCCCTCCTCCCCCCTCCTTCTTTGTTGCTTTCTCTTGCTCTGACTGCTATGAGTATTGGCTACAGGGGGGGTGAATGGGTGAAATGCTTGTAAACTCAGTGAGGAATGTGAGGGAAACAAGGTATATTTGCTGGACGAATAACCTAGTTAGGAACTTTGTGTAATCTTGTATATGTTGTTAAGTAAGAGGTTATTGGCATGTTGGAATAAGGAAAGTTAGATTTTGTTGGAACAAATGAATTGTGGAATTTATAAATGATATTGCAGAGAAAAGTAAATTGCAGTTTGCATATAATAGCAGCTATTAGGATGCTGTATTGTGGCAATCTTTATACACACAATGTGAAATTGCCAATAGTGAAATTGCCAAGAAATTGTTTGTTAATAAAAAAAAAAAAGATCAGAAATGTTATGAAACTAGTCTGTACTTACAGTGCATAGATTTGTAAACGTAATGCAGGTCAAGACAATTTAGAATCATCAGAAAAAGAAGTAGATTTGAATGGGTTAACAGAAGACAAATCAGATTTAAATGAACAGTGTAACAATGTAACAGGGAGCACATGCTGTAAACAGTCAGAAACAGTCTGTGAATTAGAGGATAGAGATGAACTAAGAAATGATCTTATTTGCCAGCTTAGAAATGAAGTTAAGCAAGTGTGTGTTAATACAAGAAAAATACAGACACAGAATCTAATCCCAGAACCAATAGATACTGAAAATGTATCCTCACAGAGTGATTTGCAGAAAATATAAATTTCAAGACAGAGCTGCAAAACTTAATTTGAAAATACATGAACAATTAATGAAAATTGTGAAATGTATTCCAGTTTATGACACGTCAGTGGATGCATTTACTAATGCTGGAATGTTTGAGTCAAATGTGGACAAATACAGCCTAAATGACGAACAAAGGAATAGATTGTTTAAAATATGGCTGCCGACTCAAATGGCATGTAGACTGAGCACTCTTGTAAAATTTGAGGACAATGATAAAATAATATATGGAAATTAGGAGACAGACAAGCAATGCAGCGTAACACAGAAAGTTATAAGAATCAGATAACTTCAAGAGATATGATCAGTTTAGGGAATGAGCATGGATATGTCTGCCAACAGATGTACACAAGCTGATTCCAGAATTAAGAACAGCACAAGAATAGAGATCTATGTCAGTTTATTGTTTTAAATGAATTGTTAGTCTGTACTGTCTTTCATTGTTTTTATATGTGTTATAAGAAAGTATTAGGTTAATTAAAATAAAAATTTAAATCAAGTTTGCACATATGGCAGAATGAGATACACTAATGTAGCAGTGAGGAACATGCAATGTTATGTTGGGTGTATGCAATTATATAGTAACTCCAATCATTTTACAGAAGAAAAAACAATAGATTTATTCTTTGTTGCTTCTGAGGTTGATTTAAAATCTTTGATTTAATTCATGAGAATGAGATTTTAATATCATGACTGATAATGGATTACTGTATATTGCAACGCCTGGACATACACATGGTTTGGATATACTGAAGACAAAAGGAATAATATATGGGAATGGATAAGGCTGATTTACCCCTATCCACAGCTACGCCTACTCCTAAAGTAACATCGCGTACATCCTTACTATGCCCTTTTACTGTAGAATTTCCCGAATCCTAATGACCAATTCCACTACATGGTGTGACTTGTTTAAGCCTAAGATAAATTGGCTGATCAGGCTACCTGTATTAACAATGTCATCAACGATGAGTTAGCATCTGTGGAGAAGTATCACTTCAGGTTGTCCCAAATTTTCTTTTAACTTAAGTTTTAGTACATAGTAAGGCCCATGCCCAACAACTATATGCAGCCTTGTATAGCAGGCCACATGACATCTATTTGTACCAAGCAAGGCCTGCCTGACTCCTCATTCCTGTCTATCATTGTTGTCTCCTGCATAAGTGTAGATGGCTCTCTTTGGAGTAGCCTGTTAACTAAGCCTTGCTTTGTGGTTACTTTCACCTGTCCAATTAATCTGCTAGGTGCAGATGTCCTTCCCCCACTTGAAGGCCCCTATCACCTTATTATTTATTTTGTTCCACACAGTGAAACCTGACCAAGAGGCAAGGGTCCTAGCTAGTTCCCCCAATACCTTTACCTGAATTATACAGGCCCCAAAGCCTGTCCAAGCTCTTACTATTCCCTAACAGGTTAAGGCTCTGGTGTCGAATGGTGCCCTGGTTACCTGAGACTTTCCATGCAATATCCCACCTCTCCTTGTGATGGACGAATTCTGTGCAGGATAATGTCACCCTGCAGGGATGATACTCTATTTACCTGGCCACTCTTCTGCCACTTCCCAAGGGGGGAAATGATAAGACACTGACTATTATTTTTTTTTAGCATTTTTCTTATGATCTGTTCCGGATTTGCTGTCACTACAGTGGACCAGGTATCTCACCTCAACAATGTCTGCACAAGAAGTTGAGCTATAGGCTCCCATCACAGCATGCAAGATCTCTGAAGGAAGACTGATCTCGGAGAAAGCATGTGGCAACTCTCTGGCTGACTAAGTTGTTCAATAAGTTGTAAGTGCACTAAGGAAAGTGGACAGAAAAGTGTCTACTGAAGAAACTCCCATATTCACCATGTAAGATCCTACCCACAGACCTCAAGCTACTGACCCTGGAAAGAAAGAAAAAACAAACAAACCACAAGCTGGAAACAGAAAGGGGCAACTCTTAAAGACAGGCTGTACTTCAACAATCTCAAGTTCTACTTGCCCAAGAACATATACTCAGCAGTGGTCCAGTGGGCCTACGGAGCATCTGTCCAGAACCCTCATGAACTCTTTTGATCAATAAATACTCTGAAGTATCAGGAATTGCCTCTCTGACCAACAGTTACTGTAAATCTTGTGCCATTTGTGCCAAGGGCAACTCAGGAAGAATGGAGCCAAAGCATCTAGCCAAACCTCATTATCTCTTCCAGAGGAGTCAAGTCGACTACATCCAGAATGCCAAAGAATGGCTGATTCAACTATGCACTAATTATAGCAGACATGTTTTCAGGATGGCCAGAGGCCTATCCAGCCACCAAAGTGATAACCAAGACCACATGCTGAGTAGTGCACTGTGAAAGTTACAGAGATCACCCCGTGGATTCATCATTCCAGAATCAAGCCTGCCTCTGCATTATGTGAAGTAGCATTTGTTGATCTTGACAACCCTTTTTGAAACTCCATTCTTAGAGAACAAAGATACTTGTTGAAAATAAATAAATAAATAAATAAATATCAACAAGTGGGTGTTTTGATGGCCATAATAATGCCTGACCACCTGCCATCGATGGAAAGCCGAATACCCCAAAAGGGGACCTCGTGAAACTAAAGAGAAACAAACATACTCCTTACCCTGCAGCCCTCATGTCTGAGGTGCCATACGCACAGTCAAAGCTTCTTCAGGATCATCTGCTTATCTTGAGTTTGTGGTGATATTAATATTGAATGTTTAAATGATCTGAATCTGCCAGTACTAGGGTAGCATGAGACAAGATTTCTAAGAATAAGTAAATGTGCCCTAGCCTAGGTTATTGTGTCCATACACATAACACATGACAATCCCCAAGGTACTCTTGACACACCTCATTCATGCTTCAGGACAAAAAGGAGTACCCCTATAAAGGGTGGTTTTACCCACACATATATATATATATGTATATTAATGCCATAGGGGTGTCAAGGGGGGTACCAAATGATTTTAAGGTAAGAAACTAAGTTTGAATCTATTCTCCCAAGCATTACGGCTAATAAAATCTGAATTGGAAGGGAAGAGGTTTATACAATAAACAGGAGACCTTTTTCTTACAGGACATGTATGACTCAGCTGAATGGGTAGGTGCCACGCACATGACTGTTAATCCCCTCAAACCACACATTAGGACTTTAAAAGACATGGTAGTCATCCCATATTTGAGGCAGGTTTCTCTGACACTAACTTGTGACTTGAATGGATGAAATACAATGCTACTAAACATAACAAGTCTAACTGCTATGTCTGCAGAGGAGCGAGGCCTCACCCAGGTACAGTATCCCTGAACCTTCCTCCGGATATGAAGTATGCGTTTTAAGTCTCTACACTGTATTTAAACCTAAGCGGTTAGCATGCGAGTCATGGAAACTTAATACCCAATCATTACTAAAAATATTATGCCCAAACGAAGGCATTACTATATATCCTGGGAACTATACTTGTTATGGGATATATGGTGGGATAGGGCGGTTACAAGCTACCTCTCAGATGACCTTCCAGAATAGAATAAGCTTAAAAATGATTTTGGCAGAAAAAGGGAGAGTATGTAAAATACTCCCAGACACCATAACATGCTGTACCTATATTCCAGACAATACAGGCCCTAATGGTAAGGTAACGTTGGCAATAGAAAAGTTAAAGAGTTTGTCCAATGAGCTGAAACGAAATTCTGGGGCCGCAGATCCATGGGAAAGATGGTTTGGATGGATGACTGGATGGCAAGGTGCTCTGGCCCAAATTGGTGTTGCCATTTTAATAACGATAATCATCCTCGCTCTTCTTGTTTGTTGTGTGTTACCCTGTCTTAAGAAATGCCTACAAAAGACAGTTGATCAGACAATCGACCAGACCACCCCGACCTTCCTTCACCAAGAGATTGACGATATCGACCGTGATACACCACATACACCCTTACAGTCCCACCGCACTAAATCAACAGCTACTTCCTCTTAAGGACATTTAGGGATAGCGTCTGTCTCTACGGGCAGAAGTCTGCCGCGGGAGAAGTAGTGGACAAGCTGCTATGGGGTACCCGCGCAGTGAAGTGTTCGAGGCCTGTTCAGACAGATGTGCAAGATAGCCTTTTGTTATTTTTCTATAGGGACAGTATTAGAATGAGAGATAGTAGTTTTAGTAAAATTGCCATTTTAAGGGGGGACTGTTATGGACAGATGAATTAAAATAAAATGGCTATTTACTAATGTCTATTTATTCTGTGTTCACTATGTTAAAACTGGCTGCTAGAGTAAATATTCCCTTCGCCCCCTACAATGTGTTCAGTTGCTGTTTACTATGTAAATTCTTCATCCTGATAAGCATCCCCCTTCAAATCAAGCAAACCTTGTGTAAACAAAATTCCTGTGTTAACAGCTCCCTTTACTAACTCCTCCCCCACTACCTTTGTGCCAGTTAACAGCTATATGCCACGTATAGCTAAATGGAGGATCATTGGTTTAGAACTGATAGATACCACTCACTCCCCCTCCCATCGTGTATCCAAAAGTCTGTAATGAT